TGTTTTATTAACATTTTTGAAAAGAAAATTTGAGCCACATGATTTTCAATCAACAAAAAAAAAAAGATCAGCATGTTATTTACCTGCCATCTTTGTTACAGTCCAGTAACTTGAAAACGCTGGATACGGTGTCATTGTGACGTCTGAGACCTAAACAAAAACAACATTCTATCAGTACATTAAAAACAGAATAATTCATGATAAGCAACAGACTTTATAGCAAAACTACTGTGTGACTTGCTCTTTAATCACCAATCAGGAAAATAATATATGTGAATGCAAACAGAGGCAGAGAAAAGGACAGAGCTGGAGTTGAATTTAAGCAGGGGGGGGAAAGGATGGAGGTTTTGGGCAATCAGGCATTGAGTCAGTCACGCTGTGCAAGAACATTTGGTTTCCCTGTAGGAGAAAAAAGCATGTCAGAGTCCAAAATGCAATCAGGAGGCCTTGTGCTGTAACGGCTGGTATGACAGTGATTTCCCTCTTCTCCATTCATATTCACAGGCAGATGAAGAGGACGCAAAAACTTCCTCAACCCCCTTTCAAGTGAGCATGTGACCCCAACTGATTCATTTTGTGAATCACATTCATTGAAGTGGGAGAGAGAGGAAATTCTCTGATGTTCGGCTCTAAGTATCTCCCACATCATCAGCAGAATGAAGGATATAAAGGGGCAAACTGATTGGCCCCTGTCTGTCTGGGGAAAAGCACTTTACATAATGCTAATTGCACATCCGCCGCAATTACCTTTCCGTGCTAATTACAGAAAAGCTAATTGTAAAACTAGCATTTTTTTCCTAGTGTAGAGTGCCTCTGTTGTGTGTGTGCTGCAAAAAAAGAAAAAGAAAAACCGCAGTTCATGAATTCAGCCTCGCCAAAATGAACCTTAAATCCATATTTATAAAGCCATGCTGTGTTTTGGATTTAGGTTTAAAAAGAAGCAAGATTGCACACCACATCTCGTCCCCCCACGACATGCCTGGAAGATTCTTCACCCCCGTTGTTGACTCTACTCAACTGCGGGTAAAAAAAAAAAAAAGCATTGCTAATACTTTTCTGCAATACACACAACATCTGTCATATTAGTGGCCTATTCTTTTGTTTGAAAAGCGCTCTGTTCCCAACTTAATGCTTGACATTCTCAATGCATCCTCTAGTCGCTCTGCCTCGCAAAATGAGTGCACCAAGGAGGAAGAGAAATGGTCTCATCCCTGCTTCTACTGCAGAGCTGTAGCTCAGAAAAACAACCATAAGGAGGATAGATGGAGAAGGGAGGAGAGGAAGACAGAGAAAGTAAAAGATGGAGTGGGGGCGGGAGAGTGGGGTGATTTAGTAAAAGGTAAGAGGAAGAGTGGGGAAGAATGTGGAAAACAAGCAGAGAGAGTATGAGGGCGGAAAAAAGAAGAGAGAAAGGAGGCTCAAGATATTGGCTCTTTAGGCCGATGGCACATACAGTATAGGGGGCTATGTTTACTAATGGACACCATCACTCATCCACCCATGTTGCCCTGGCGATAGCACAGCACACTCGAAAAATAAAGACAGGCACAAAGAGAACAGAGAAAATGGAACATATCAGCAGGAGACTGCAGATCTATGCCTGGGCTACAGACCATGTTATCCACACAGAGCTTGCTTTGTTTTTGTCGGCTCTGCACTCCAAGACTAACAAAAACATACGTTTTGCTTTCTTTTATACACTATATGTAGTATTACCAGGCTGGAAAACATCTCATTCTGCAGGAAAAAAATAAAAATAAATGACGGAAATGGATAAAAAGGCTGCACTTTTACTTTGCTGTTTTCAGAAAACACTGCAGCACAATAAGAGCATTGCAGTGTGCAAAATCAATGACGTACTCATTTAAATTTGCTCGTCGGTGTTGTGAGTATAGTGGCTGAGATAAATTCCTTATTCTTAGCAATCATCTCAAGGCTCCTACTTGTGATTTTCCAAGATTTATTTTAAACCCTGAGCTGATATGACACATACAGTGGGACAAATAAGTATTTGATACACCGCCGATTTTTCAAGTTTTCCCACTTACAAAGAATGGACAGATCTGTAATTTTCATCGTAGGTACACCTCAACTGTGAGAAAATCACATTGTTAGATTTTTAAATAATTTATTTCCATTTTATTGCATGAAATAAGTATTTGATACAATAGAAAAATAGAACTTAATATTTAGTACTGAAACCTTTGTTTACAATTACAGAGGTCAGACGTTTCCTGTAGTTCTTGACCAGGTTTGCACACACTGCAGCAGGGATTTTGGTCCACTCCTCCGTACAGGTCTTCACCAAATCTTTCAGGTTTTGGGGCTGTCGCTGGGCAACACAGAGTTTCAGCTCCCTCCATAGATCTTCTACTGGGTTCAGGTCTGGAGACTGGCCATGCCACTCCAGGACCTTGAAATGCTTCTTACGAAGCCACGCCTTAGTTGCCCTGGCTGTGTGTTTGGGGTCATTGTCATGCTGGAAGACCCAGCCACGACCCATCTTCAATGCTCTTACTGAGGGAAGGAGATTGTTGCCCAAAATCTCAAGATACATGGCCCCATTGATCCTCTCCTCAATACGGTGCAGTCGTCCTGTCCCCTTTGCAGAAAAGCACCCCCAAAGCATGATGTTTTCACCCCCATGCTTTGATTTGATTTGATTTATTCTTTCAAGCATGTAAAGACAGTTGATATGACAACACACATGATTGTACACATAATCCAATATCAATTTGCTTATACCTAGTACATGCTTGAATAGAGTAGGAAGAAGTCAGACTTATCCAGTCCTACCCCATGACATCATCTTACCATCATTGGTTTGCAAGCAGTAAATGATTCTCTTCTACACCACACAAGTATTATACTAAAAAATTATAACAG